TATATTTATAGGAAATACAACAGATAATTAAATCAAAACACTGATTAAAAAGTGCATAATACTAATGTCAGAACAGTGTTTTTATCAGCTAATGATAAACTCAGAACACCTTCCTTAGTTTTATTAGGCTGATTGCAGCTAAAGGCAGTGCTAGGCTTCTACACATTTAGGTAACACATTATTATAGTTTTCAGAATCATTACTTTTTGCAAGCAAAATTTATTTTGTTTATTCAAATCAGATAAATGTTACGGGTATTTTATTCATCATTTTTCTGCTTATGTATATTGACATTTTTCACCAGATTCTTCCAGCGCTCCAAGTTGGGATGTCAAAAACTGTGCTTGCAGAAATGAAAGTATCCTCATTATGCAAATTTAGGTTCCACTGATAGGCATGTTCTGTTTTATAAATTACATCCTCTTGTCAGAAGTCAAATTGTATTTGAATAACTTCATGGAAATTGTCACCAAGATTTTAAATTGTGTGCCTTGTATGCCATTGTTGATTTAGTCAGTGAGTAAAAAATGGACATATGTTGATTTTTAAATATGTGCATGATTGTTTTGTCATAAATGTTATTTAAATGAAACCTAGATGCATATGTAATTTTCCATGTATATTTTTGTAAATTTTTGCATTATATAAATAATCTTAATGTTTATATTTAATAAAATATGTTAAACAGTATTAGTTGCTGTATATTTTAGTCCCAACAAGTTTGTTTCCTATAAACATTCTTGAAAAAATTTCCTGTAGGGTAAAATAAATATACATGTTCCGATAAAAATATTAAAGCATAAAAGTTAAAATGAAAAGTGAACTTGAATTATGAAAATTGTTTTTATCTGCTATAAAAAGACTGCCCTTATTATTTACATTTTCTATGAAATTTACAAAAAACAAACACAAATTTTTTACTCATCTTGTTGAGAGTAGTGATACTCAAATGTAAGTTCATTTCTTATTGTAAGCTAAACAATTTAATTAAAAATACATTTTAACTCATTACAAAGAATAAACTGAGTTAAGAAAAGAATATATTTGAATAATTTATAGAGCAGAGATGCTCATTTTAATTTAAAAAATAATGTATTACATTCTTATTAAAAAAAATATTTCAATGAGATATAGGTTACCAGCAAAAAAATGTCCTTTACAGAAGCTCATAGTTCAGTTGATCTTAGTTTTCAGAATGACCATTATTGCAGCTGGAGTAATCTTTGATGTTAAGAAAAGTGGAAAAATCAAAGTGAAGTGGTAAATCTGTTCATTTTTCAAACATATTAATCTTGTCAAGTTAATACATAAAATCAATCTTTGCATTTTTTTTCAGAGCCTTTTATTCCCTTTTATCCAAAATATGAAAGCACTTAATGGGATAAAGAAATGTGGATGACTTTGGAAAAACGATCTGAAAATATATTTTGTCTGTTGGTATTAAACAGTGACGCAAGTAATGTGAACTGTGCATGGTCAAAACATGAATTACTTGTTCAACTATTGGAATTCATCGTATTTGTTCTGCTTATAATATGAGTATACAGCAAATTTCTGGTACTGCTTTCTTAACAATTCAACTGAATTTCAAGCCCTGACAGTAACAAATACAAATTGCACCAGCCCAAAAAAATTGTTGGGGCTAATTTTAATATTAATGAATTCTTTACAACCTCAGTTCAGCAGTTTCGATTAAGCTTTAATTAGTAGCCAGAGGGGAATCCAAAACAAAAATAAGGAGTTGAATTGCTAATTAAGTTAGTTTGATGAGGTAGAGTTTTAGTAAAAGACTGGTTGTTGTTGGCTGTGCAGGTTCTGACAGGCTAAAAATACTAAAGATTATCATTATTGTAACTAACATCCTACATTACCACCAGATTTCTGCAAGGAGCAGACAGTTCATTAGAGTACAACACTTTTGTGTGTCAGTACGAGAATTAAAGACTTGTTAATAAGATAGCAGTGCATGGGAACCATAGACCAAGACAAGAAAACATGGTTTTAAATTTGACTGGTGATAAATTATCTAGTTATTTGATACTCTGGTACGCATCTGAATCTAATGTGCATTTATTTGTTAGGAACTGCTTGTCAGTCAATTCATTTCCCAAACGGAATTTTGTTTATTAGGCTACAGGGCTTAGTGATTTTTCTTTTGACGTGTCCATCACAGTCACATTTTGCTTAATTTGCATGCTTTAGATATATGATGTTCACCAAAAATTGTATTTAGTAGTGAATGTGTAGATGTGAGTAGTTGTGGTGTTAGATGCTCTACCTCCAGAATCTACATGTCAAAGAAGGTAATATAAGAGAAATCTATAAACAAACTTAGCTGAAGAAGCAGCATGGAGTAAAATTATATAGCTATGTTTTTTCCCTAATGATCCCTTTTATAATGGGTTAAAATCTCAGCCAGCTTAAATCATTATCAAATGAATTTTTACACTGTCAAGTTAACTATTGTATTCAATTAAATTTTTTTGACATTGTAAGTGTGCTACCATAGCTCCCAAAAGATTACTAATTATAACGACTAAAGCTCTGCAGTAATAGCAATTCGACCAAACTGCACATAAGAAATGTGTTAGATATCTCTGTAAGGATCGTATGGAATGTCGTTTGGTTTCACTATACTTTGATGTTTTCTATAATTTATATTTTGTCCTTTTGCTTAAGGTTTCAAAGCCTACAAACCCAATAATGAAGGGATAAGGGAAGACAGAAAAATAAATTATATTGTTTCTGTGGCATTAAATATAAGCCTGCTATCAGAGCTACATAGCACTAGCGAATTGTAATCAGGTACTTTGACTTAACACTGTTTTGTTTTATAATAAGAGTGGTTGCCATATGTTGGAAGTCCTATCTGTCTGTGTCTTAGGGGTTTCATACCTCTGTAACAAATCCAAAAACTCATTTTATAATACCTTAAATCTACCCATTGTAATGTAGCTCCACTAGTGTAAATCCACATCAAACTTTCCTCATGAATGTTGCTAGAAGATTGCTTATATTATCACTGAAAGCAAGGGGAAGCATTGAATTAGGATGCAGAAGATAGAGGAAAAATAACTTTCACCAAACCTTCTTTTAATGCATAGTTAACAATTTCTTTCACTCAGCATGAAACTGATTAAAAGCACATGGATGCCCCTCATAAAAAATGCTTTGCACAAATAGATGCATTGTTTAATACGTTTACATCCTTGAATGCTTGGAATTTGAACTGTAATACAACAATGTAGCGGTTGTTGGAAAAGAACATACGGTATCCACTATACATCTGTCTGAATATACAGTACATTCCTCTGCTGTCTCACTCTCTCCCAGTGGCATCCAAGGATTCCCACTGGAAGACCAGAGCCTGTTACAGTAAACAAATTACATTTCTGGTATTAGCTATCAGGGGCACTGTTTGTGCCAGATATTACACCAGCAGGCAAACAGGTTCACACAGCCAGCTCTAAGAGTAGATGTGTAGCTGCACACAAACTCTCCACTCACTACTTTATTTAGTTGAAAAATGAAGCACAAATAAAATCTTTTAAAGGAGTCATGATGAATGTGATTTTTGTTGTTTGGATGAATTCCTTCAGTGCACATTTATCACAGATCAAGGCTATTTTTTATTTCTTAGTCCACTCTTTCTCAAATACCAGACTGACATTCTTCCGTATGGTTCACTTACTATGTCAAAACTAAAAGAAAGATAAAATTAATAGAAGTACAACTCCCTGAATCAAATTGGCATTCAGTGAACAGACCAAGAAAAGATTTCTGTATCAGTGTAATAAAAGACAAGATCATTAAAAAGCTTCAAAATTCCGCAAAAGCAGCTTAAAAGTTTAACCAAATGCTATATTTAGAAATTTGTGTTCCCGATGTTTGTATTCTTATGCCAGTTTCAATACTGGTCTCTTTGCTGACCTCGATGTAATTACTACTGACTGACAAATGTGGAAATGACAAAAGAATCACGTTCTATATGATGGAAAAAGTCTGTGAAAGTTATATCATTGAAGGGCACTCAATTCTTGCCTATTAATAAATATTTTTGTGTCTCTGATTTTATTTTTATTTATTTACAATTAAATGAAGGCAAGTACACATTGCTTGCAGTATGAGTATCTTTTCATACACTGGAAACCAAAATCTTTGCAATCACAGTGTGTTAACCAGATGTTCAGTTTTATAAATTGAGGTAATGTAAAGCTACTCATCATTTCAGCCTTTAAATACTCAGGACAATAAAAATAGCAATGCTATTAACAGAATAGATTATTTGTTTTGATATGAAATGTTAAATAAAAATTAATTGAATAGGTTAAGTCAAAATGAAATGAGTTTGTGCTTTGGGGGCTTCATATAAGTATGTATGTGTATGTGCATGCACGTGTATATGGATGTCTGTGCATAAACGTATAAAAATATAAATACGTATGTATTTATAATCCCTCTGAAACAATCTCCTTTTTCTGGACTCTCCAAAATTGTAATTTTTTCAGCAGACTTCCAGTCCTAGCTAGACACGAGTTTATGTACCTCTATGTGTTTGTCAATTCCCTGTGAGGGCACAGAGATGGAGGAGGGGGCTGCCTTTACATTATTTTGTTTAGAAACTTATCCTTTAATTGGTTTGTGCATGCAAGTTGGTTTTACATTGGTGACTTTAACTTAGGAATAATTGCATAGCACCTAGCAGAAAGAAAATTTAGGCTGAATATAAAGGAAAAGAATCATAGAACTTGTAATATTTGCCTTGGCTGTGGTATGTTCTCCATCAAAAATTAAGAGAAATTAAAAACTAAGCTATATAAGAATTTCCAGGTACACATGAGAATCTTAAAATGGACAGTATTAAGATTTTTCTTGGATACAACAGATGTTGATCCCTAGTTTTTTATGTAAATTTTCCACAAATATATCACCCACAAAACTGTATGAAATATGTCTGAAACAATATTTTGGACAAGGTACTTGAAGGAGGTACTTGAAAGCTTGAGAGGAAGATATCTTCAAAAAATACATTGATGGTTTTCATAGACAATAAGCACTGCTCAGGAGAGACAGAAGTGTTGATGAGCAATCGAAATTGCCATTGCAATGACTCAATACAACAATCCTGGAAGAAAGTAATCCATTAATTTCAACTGCATTCATGTATATCCTGAAGCATTTTACTATAAGAACTACAGCACAACTGCTCAGCCCTATGTTCAGTTGAGATTGAAAAAACTATGGCAAAAATCCCTGATTCAAAGGCAATAAACTTTCAAAAGCTCCATTGCTCAGTGGAAGATGCCCTGTGATGGCTGAATTTTGAAGCCAGTACAAAAACATCAACCAACCCACAGCTGAGCAGAACCCTACACTCCTTTTTCAAATTAGCTGCATATACTTTTTTTTAGTGTTAGGTTTCCTTTAACTCACAGTTTGGATGAATAATAGGTGTTTCTAGCTAGTGTGGATCTTTTCCCACAGGTCACCTCAAACACAAATCAGCTTTCGTTTAAACTGGTTTAATCAGGGTTTTCAAATCTCCAACCCATAGCACCTGAGTCACTGCTAAGCTTGCCATGAGATCTTGCCAAACATGTACAAAAGAATCAATTTTCTGCTCAGATTCATGTTTCCAGTGATTTGGTTGGAGTTTGGGAATGTGTTGTAACAGTGTCCACTACAAAATCGGTGTCTCTTCCCATATCGTTAGACAGATGGACAAGCTGGCAGACAGGACCAGGCTAGTTTGGGGGCAGGGACAAAAATAACACGATCATATTTCAACTCATTGTTCAAGTTTAATGAGTTCTGCCATAGCTCCAGCACTAGAAGGTTATTGTGAGGGAAAAACAAAGGGACCCTTCTTTTGTCTTTCTTCTCAAACTATCAGGCCCCATTACTGAAAATTAAGGTTCAATAAAATTCGTATTCAGAGATAATTAGCGGACAGCTTTGTGGTGAGGCGGATAATATGACCAAAGTGCTGGTTCACAGCAGTGTGTGCTGAAGTGTGAAAGAGCCAGTTCTCTGTTGCTGCTTCTGAGGTCATACCCCCTCATCCTGCATACAATGTGGCAGTCAAAATGCAGCATTCTTACCTGCTGTGATAAAAAATACACCAAAGCAAATAAATTATTTCAATCCCCCTCCCCCTCGCAGTTTTTTTTTTTTAAACAAAGCTAGATCATTAGTAATAAACTATGACTTCATTAGAATGTTCCACATAACAGGATTACAGAGGAATGTGTCAATAACTGGCAAAGGTTTGTCTTTCATTAATTAACACCTTTGTATGAATACAAACTTGTTATCCTCACTTTTTATAGGTGAAATATTACCATTAAAATTAGACCTTTGGCTTAAAAAAAAATTCTTGATGGTGTTAATTTGTACAACTGAACATTCTCCAAATATTGTTTAGGTTTGAAAAGAAACAAAATTTGAAATCAGGCAGTATTTCAGGAAGAGTGCTTTTCTCTGCACTAAGGGAAAGTTTCAGAGTTCTACTCTTTTATGTATATGTATGCAGAAGTGTGTACATATGCTCATTCTCTCCATAAAGGAAAATATTTAAGGAAGTAACTAATTAAGTATTTGTCCTGATTTTTTTGCTTAGCAGAAGTGCACATTAACTACTTCAGCTTTACTTTTCTCATCTGTCACTGAGGAAACAGTTCATAAGCTTAGGGACACTGTAATATTGCTGTTTATCCCAACACGCAAATGTCTTTGTGGACAGACAGCAAAAAGCAAATTCTGCCTCAAAAAGTAGAGTATTTTTTTTAAGTAGAAACACGGTAATGTTTATTTTTAGCAGTTTCACCTGGTAGCTTATAAATGTCACTTTTAGCATTCACAAAGACATTCCTATGCTTAGTGGGGTCCTGGCTAGAACTACCTCCTTAGATACTGATATTGTTTCACCACTGTCATGTTTATTTGGATCACCAAATGATTTACAGGAGAGATCCCATTACCAAAGGATGTGCAGGTGCTTAATCTCACTTTACCTGAAATATCTGTGGGATGATCTAAAATAATCTTCTCTTTTTGAGGGTCATAATATCTTCTGTTTTGGAAGCTTTGGACCAGAATTCTATGTGATCTGACACAGGCTTTTCCTATGGAATCATTTCCAAAAGGTATGAAATAGTTATGGTAAACAAGATATCAATAAACTGGCATTTTCTCACCCCTTTCCCAGGGGTTTCTGGGAAGGTGGGTGGGGTGATATTTGATGTGAGCTGTTCTGCAGGAGTAACTGTATATTCCCAAGTACTGATGTTTTCCTAAATCTCTATTTCACAATTCACTGCACAATAAGCATATTCTCAAAAAAAAACTCAATAAGAAAAAATCAGGTCACATTTCTTTTCTGTTTTGTTTAGGAAAAGGTAGTATGTGATGTTGCTTTAAAAACCTGAATGGAAATATACAAAAGCAATGTTGGATTTGTCATCTGTATCCCAGAGACTTTCCATTAGATTAAATTTGAAAAATGGCTTCAGATAATAGTGAACTCATTAAAGCAGGTCAATTTTTTTTATCCACCAAAAAAATCAGTTTTATGATTAGTGAAGAAAAGAAGGTCTCCATCATTGTTTTTCAGGAGGTGGCTCTTTGAAATTTCACAGACTTCGAGATTTTTCAGACTCTTGGTGTTTGTTTTTTTTTTTAAATAACAGTTTGCTATGGGACAATCTCAGCACCCTACAATACAAGGCTGAACTCTTACTGATTAAAGTGGAACTTGGTTTATTAACGTTACATAAGGAAGCACTTTCATCTGCATTTCAGTGTTAGTGAACTTAGTATGTGATTAGAAAAGGAGGATTAAGGTTGTGTCTACATTAGCAAATAATTCAGTATGATAAGAATAAATCAGTAGATCAAAGCAGTCAATGCTCTTGCTATGTGGTTCAAAGTTTTTGCTTCCATCCAGGTTTAGTATGATATCCTGGTCTGAACATCCTCATTGCACGCGTGGTTCAAAGTCACCTACTCAATGTCCAAATGCTTATGGCTGCGCTAGGGCATATATTACACTCGGTGAACATCTGAAGAGGAGAACCTCACTTTTCTCTGAAATCCATCTTGTGGGCATCTAGTTTGCAGAAACCAAACTAAACTGCAGAACAAAACGAAGCACAGTAACATGAGGAAAACAAGGGAATATAAACCAAAATGTGAGTATGATGCAGCCTAAAAGTGCCTTCTAGCTAGATGAACACAGGGTATAGTAATTCTTGGATGTAAATGGCTCTCTGAGCCCTGTGAAACTCCCTCAACAGTGTAGTATTCAGCCATTAACTTTCTTGAAACCAAGTCCTGCAGCTCCCCCTGCTCCAAAGCAAGGAGTCAGGCTGAAAACCCTCCTGCAGCATGCTGTATACACTTCAGTAAGCCCAGCATTTTCAGTTCAACTCCTTCAGAAACATGCTAGAGAAAACATATGATATAGACTAAAGTCTGCAGGCACATTAAACTTACCAGGGATTATGTGTTGGGTACATGAAAGTAAATTACAGAGGTCAGCAATATTCTACCACCTTACAGTGGCATCTCAAGAGCAATTTCCAACACAATGAGGCCCCCTCCTCAGTCCGTGCAGCATAAAGCCATGAACCCTCTGTACAATGCCTTTCTGGAAAAAGCCCTGTGACAAGCTGATAAGCCCTGCCAAGGAGTTCATAAGCCATCAGTGATTATTAGTTCGGGACTGCTGTCCCTCAAACTTAGATATACTGCTTCTAGGTCTGAGCAAGTTCACCAGCAGTAGTCATCTTGGGTGTCTTTGCACCCATGGTGAAGACATATTTACTGCCTCCTGTCAGTGCTTGAACTGCACCTTCCCCAAATCCTTAGGCCAATGATATTATTCTGTACTCTCTTCTTTTTCTGGAGATCTCCTTCAAGCAATTCAAGCCAGAATATGCAGTTGTTTCTTGTAAGAGAGTAAAGCAGTTTTCTGACTACATGAGGACCAACATTAGCTATGTTTGAGTTGCAGTTCAACTCAACAGGATGAGTTGAACTACAGGATTTTGGTGTTTTGATTGGTTTTTTTGTTTGTTTTGGTTTTGTTTTTAGGGGGTTTTTTGGGTGTGGGTTTTTTTGGTTTTTTGTTTTGTTTTGGTTTTGCGGGGTTTTTTTGGTTTTGATTTTGGTTTTGGTTTTTTTGTTGATTCATTTCCAACAACACAACCTCCTATAATACTTAATAATGTCATTGTGGTGACTTTAAAATTTTCAAAGAGTTGGTGGGATCTGAAATATTTTGATATTTCTGTAGTCCCAAGGTTTCACATCTGTCACTCAGTATTGGCAACTAGTTTGTGCGATGAAAACAATTGCAATAAAGCATGCATAGATCAGAGCTGTGCTCCCCCTTGCAGTCATCTTCTGTTTGCTTTAACAATGATTACTTAAGAGTGAAATTTAGAATTTTAGTCTCACTGCAATAGAAGCATTACCTAAATAAAACCATATCATTCTGTATATCTTTTAAGGATGAAGTGAGATTGGCAGGTATTTTATCCAACTGCTGTGCATAGTATAATATACTATTCCACAGTTTCTCAGTTGCTCATTCATTTGATGCCAGTCAATTTTCATAAACTGAAAACAGAACAAAGAGAACAAAATCAGGGTTCAAACCAAACTCCAAACAAAATCAACTGTGTTTTCAGAAAATTAGATCAAGCTTCAGTTTTAAAGTTAAATAAATTTCATTTATGATGAATGCTGAAAAATATCTGGTTTTACAAATTTATTTTTTCAAAAAAGGATGAAAATGATTTTATATATGTATGTATATTAAGGGTAGTGCACTGTATATCAGAAATATATCTGAAAGTCTGTCAGTGGAAAAGGGCTGATAAATTCCACACAGGAATGCAAATCTCTTGCACTGTGTGAATGAAAACCTTTTCTATTGCCTCTCTCCTAGATGCACTTTAGTTGTGGAACTAGGGGCTGCTTACCACAGTCCTATGCCAGAGTTATGCCCTGCAAGACAAGGTGCACTCTGGATCCATTCCTACCCACCCCCCTTGCATGGCTTGCTCTTTCTTGCTGCAGAAAACTAACTGAAAGCATACAGCCTGAACTCAAGGCAAAGCTAAGCCTCTCACTGATGATGACAAGGTGCCAACATAATGTAGACCTCAACCTATTATGTCAGTCAAGATTCCCCAAAAAATTTACAGGATGTATTAGATCTGGTTGAGATGGAGTTAATTTTCCCCACAGTAGCCCTCACAGTGGTGAGCTTTGTATTGATAGATAGAAAGGTGTTGGTAACACATCTACTGCTGAGGAGTGCTCCACAGCATCAGGGCTGTCTCTCCACCATTAGCCCCATCTGTAGACCAGGGTGGACAAGGTCTTGGGAGGGGACACAGCCCAGACAGCAGACCCAAACTGACCAAAGAGATAGTTCATACCATATGACATCTACTCAGCAATATAAGCTAAGAGAAGGAGGATGAGTAGGGTAGGGGGGTGGGGTATGGGCATTTGTTATTACCAAATTTGTCTTCTAGAGGAAATTCTATGCAACCTGAAGCCCAACTTACTGGGAAGTGGCCGAACATTACCTGCTGATGGGAAGCAGAGAAGAAAACCTTTTTTCCTTTGGTTCTGTGTGTGGCCTTTGCTTTTGCTTTATTAAAATGCCTTTATCTGATCCACAGATTTTTTTCAGTTTTATTTTCTCTCCACCCCATCCTGCTGAGGAGAGTAGTGGCAGAGCGGTTAGTGGCCATCCATCTAAGACCAACCCACCACATAGCAGATCCCAGGGCAGATGAGACTGAACTTGCCTGTATACTTAATGTGCTGTAATGTGGTGGGATGACACATCTTTAGCCACTGAAAACAAATCTGAGGCAACTGTTCTGCTAGATACCTTCAGTTTAGAAAGGCCAATCTTTTCTCTTACAGCAAGTACTTGGAGACAATACTGCAAATATGTCACTGCATGGTTTGACACTGGCAACTCGCCTGTCCTACAATGCACAACTCCCTGCATTTTGGACTGCAGAGAAGCAGCACAAAATGTTCAATGCTCTCTTCCACATTAGCCGAGATGCGACTTTGTCCCGTACGTTATGAAGCAGGCCTCCACCAGAGAAACACCTGATTTACAAAGGATACATCCAAACTCCTGATACTTCACGAATGTTGGCATACCCCCAAACTACTTCTGGCAAGCTGCTGAGGGCAAACCTGGATCCAAAACCTCTGGAAGGTTCTGCCATTGCCACTGACCAGGTTTTCACAGAAAAAAAATATTTCAGATATTCACCATATATTCTGAGTTGGAAGGGACCCACAAAAATCAGGCAGTCCACCACTGAAGTGAATCACCCATAAGGGGATTGAACCCACAACCATGGTGTTATCAGCATCATGCTCTAACTAACTGAGCCAACCCATTTCATCCTCCTGATATGTGAAGATATAGTCCTAAAACTTATGTTTTCAGGTGGGAAATGCCCTTTTTCTCTTGACCTCCACTCATGGGTCTACAGGATGAACTGGCAAGTCTTCCCTGCAGCATCAAAGTCTTCTCAGTGTAGAAGGACGGGTGGAGTTTGGAGTCCCTGGTACAACAGGAACAAAACCATTGCAACTCTAAAGGATACAGATAAATTCTGATGTGAACAACATTTTAAGTAGTGCATAAAATCAATTCCTATTGATTAATATTAATTTAATAAACCAGCAATCAGTTGCTATGAAAACAAGAAGAAAGCCAATGCCCTGTTTCTGAGTAAATTATACACTGTAAACAGATTCTGAGAGATGCAAATAGTGTCTGGTTTCACTTTTCTTTAGCAGGAGGTTTGAATGATAAATGTGTCAGCCTTACAGTATTAAAATTTTTAAATATAAAGGTAGGTAATGAAAGAATAATGTCTATCCCCTGGGATTACAGTCCACCCTCTATCACAGCATGTAGATGGCAGGTATCCCTTGCTAGCCTGGCGCTCACTTTCAGGAGTTTGAGGCACCTGACTGCAGGGAGGGTAGGAGTTACTGCAATCCTTGCAGAACAGATCTCTTTAGAACAGCTTGGGGAATTTGATTATGTGAAACTGTAACAAAATTACCCTGTGAAGTCCTGAAAAAAGGTAAGGCAAAAATAGCTAGGGAAATGCCTTGAGTTACTAAAAAATTTAATTTACTATGCATTAATTATTGGTTAATTAAGTTCAGTATCTCTCTCAAAGTTTCACTGGCATTCAGATCTTTGGTGGTTTCGATTACTTTTGCTCACTGACAGGATAAGGGTGTTTTGGAAGATAAAGGGCAACACAATCTTTGTGCCATTGATTCTTTGTAGATATAATATAAAAAATTACTCCCACCGGAATTGTGGTTCATTTAGTGAAACTTAAAGTTTGTAAAAAGATTTATTTTCTGATTGGTAATTCATTCTTTAATTTTTTGATGGGATGTCTGTAAACAGTTTATCTCTCCTTTTCTTTTAAATTTATATTTAGTGAGCACAAACAGCACACCAAAGCCACAATCATGTTCACCTAGTGCTGGATAATCTGCTGACTTTCTGATTGCCTGATTGGATCCGAAAGAATTATCCTTTCTCCTCAGAACCAGAGATGCAGGAAATGAAGATAAAAGGTAGTGTTTATAGTTATAAAATAAAATGAGCTGAAGAAAAGGAATAACAGATCACAGAACTATGATTGTGTCTCACCTTGTCTGAGATGGCAGACATCATGCAGCTTCTAAGGTGGCATCAGGTCTCATGTGTAATCACTGATTTTATGAAGGCTGGCATTAATTTAAAAAAAAAGACTAGCAAGTACTCTGCAGTGTACTAACTGCTTTCCTGTAGATACAAAGGTATAAATACCAACACTCAATCTTGCAAGTTTTGACCTAACTCCGTTATTTCACAGTCACAAATAGAACTGCTTGTAAGCCACAGCATGAGGACAGTTCTCCTATGCATTTGCACAGCTGCCCTGACAGCTGGAATAGGAGGCCAGTAAATATTTCCCTTTTGCTACCATGTGAAAACAAGTAAGAAAAAAGTTCCTTATGTTGGTTTAGTACCCTTGATGTTCTTCATTCCTCAACAGAAAACAATTCAAAAATACAGCAGTTGAGAAGTCAATGGTAAAAGGTTAACTTATTACACCCCTTTAGGGATAAAAGTATCTAATAAAAAAAAAATTGAACCAGAATCTTAAATTAGTATGTGATACAGTGTAGAGTGTCATTCCAGTTCAGAATATTCTATTTCTCGTGGAGTAGTTATTTGAAATAAACCTGATAGCGCCAAGTTTCATTATATGGAGCCCTACACTACATCATTTTCTGTTCCATAACATCAGAGAAGTGTTCAAAAATCAGTACAAAATACATTGTTACTGAAGCCTTCAACTTGCCTGCTTGCATTTTAAGTTTATCGGGATCAGTAGCTGGCCCAAGTAACATTTTCTGTATTAGACTGTTCAGAACAGATTTGGAAAGCTAAAGTTCCTCTGTGTGTGCTGCTGCATGGGTCTGTAGTGTTTTTGTACTTTTTATAGGTCTATGGCAATTCATGAAGAGCAATAGTGATACCTGAAACTCTGAGCAATGTGGCTGTTCTTAGTTCAAAACTATAACATCTTGTAATATTAGAAACATGGTAGCTGAAGTCATTCCAAACTTGTGAAAAACTGCATGAAAATAGAGACAGCTGGTAAATAAGAGAGGTGGAACTACAACAAATACTTACAACAGGTAGCCTCTGCAACCTGAGCCCGTGGGCTTCTTTCAAGGAACAAATAAAAAGTCCTACAGTTACAAAAACACAGTTCTAAATTATTGTTTGCTGAAAACAAGCAAACTCATCCGATTAAAATTTTTAACTATCTAAGCTTCTCTCTGTGCCTGCATGATATGGACTTAGCTGGGTTTTTTTTATCTTTTTACATCTTCTCTTCACTGGGCAAAGCAGAATTTGCTGTTTCCACATAAAGGTCATTAGTAGCCTGAAGGTCTATGCAAATCCTTCACACCAAACACTGATAACATTAGAATGCAGTGAGTGATAAAAGAACTAAAGAAATTAAGATTAGAAACTACTCTAAGTAAAAAAGTTGTGGGGGCTAGCAACTTGTCAATACGTTTTCTCTGTGGACGGTCATAACTTGTGTGCTTTTATAGCCAAGTTCAGAGTTGTCTTCAAGAGCTGCAAAATCCTTCCAGGTGAGCATCACAGAAGTTCAGTTTGGATTTTACAATGTTCTCTTCCTGGTATGCTCCTTTGTCATTCTTTTTTGAAGACATTGACCATATGATGATATTCAAATGGCCAAGCGTTTACAATTTCCAGATCTGCCAAATAGCGAATCAACCTTTATAATTAAAGGTGACAAGCTGACAGGGAAAATGAATGTAAAATTATATACGTATATGAATTTTTATGTCAGATTGCCGTCTGTGCACTTGTTTTTTCTTTGTCAATAGCCGAAGGCTCATTTCTCTGTACTAGAAGTGCATTTTATATCGAGGCCTTCAGACAGCTCCCCTTCGCCCTAGTGAATTTGCTGATTAATTTTGGATGCTCCTCTTAATTAACACCCCAAAGGAAGTCTAGATTTTCTAGCCTATATTCCATGTAAAACAAGTGAATCTGAAGAACAATGACCTAAGGAGACAGGCGCGCTCTGTCCGAATGACATTACAAGAACATTGAATATCTCACAAGTCAGGACCTGGTCAGGCAATGCCTAGGGAAAATGTAGGCCTTTAATCAGGGCAGAAATGAGATTCATATTAGTCCAATTTCATTTTCTTTATTGCTGACAAAGAGAGGCTGGGATGGATGCCACCTGACAGTTGAAACATGGTGCTCCTACGCAGAAGCGGGTGCCTCTGGCCTTGATTAATAATTGGTACCATTTTGACTTGCGGGCAGATAAGTTGATGATGGATGAGAGAAAAAGAGTGAAGTGATTTATTATAAAATTAGGATAAAATAACGAACTGGCTAATTGCACACAAGCCTCATAAAGTGTAGCTGTGGAGTCAGAAGTGCAATGCCAGGCAGCAATAATTTCCACCTCAGTTTTCACAATGAGATCTTAAAGCAAAAAAAGATAGAGACAACTCTTACGTATGCATGTGATTTATGCAGAAAAACCCTTGCCCATTCTTCTTCTTCAAGCAAATAAAATATTGAGTCTTGTATTTCAGTTCTTATTATAACTGTTGCACAAGAAAAGAGAACAGTAGAACTAAACAGGCCACGTTAAACCAACTGTTGCTTCTTTGTTAAAGCTAATAAAACTTTGTAGTTCTTGAATTTTTTTGCATACTTTATCAACATAAAAATATCTAAAGTTTTGAAACTGAGTTGCATACATGTTTAAATCAAAATTCAACTCAGAAATCAACTTATAAGGTCTATTGGCACCTGTAGAAGTGTTCAACCCTCTTGATAGCTATCACTTTTCCAGTACGCTTTTTGATGCTTTGAACTTCCAAATCTGTGCTCTGATAGCTATTTTAGAAGCTGAATCACTTACTGCTTGCTATTTTATGCTGCCTGTGTCCAGCCGAGTACAACTGCAGATTAAAAAAGCATGTCATAATATCCATTTGCTGTTTGTAACAAATATTTCTTTTGTTGTTGTGAATCAATGTTATTATATACATTTTTCTCTACAAGAAAATACATTTACAAATGCCTGGTCATTTTCTCTTGGAAATTTTGAAAGCCTAACCTTTTCCTTGAAAAGTTTTGCTTCTAGCAGTGCCAATCAACACCCAACTGCTTTTTTCTGCAAGGTCAACTATTAAAAAAGCTGAAATTACTAAACTAAATACAACTGCAACAATATTGTCCAAATAAGATGGGTTCAGTCATAAAATTGAAAATTAATGTAGCATGGGGAGCTAAAATTTAATTTTCATGTAATTGATTTCTATTCTACTGCTAAGAGAAAAATGTGGCAATTTCTCCTTATATTCCACAAATTTACAGAAACTGAATTTTCCATGCCAATTAGGAGACAGGATTTTCAAATAATAATATGCAAACACTTCATTTTGGTTCAAAAGCCACAGTCATTGCTTAAGAGCATTAAACTTTTTCTATGTTCCTGAAGAAAAGTAAAACTTGTATCCACTATTATATCCCTTAGACAACTACTACAAAGTTTCATAACTAATCCCTTCTTAACTGCATACTATTTATTTTTGGGGGAGATTTGAGAAAAGTTAATCTGAATTAATTTCTAAAGTGAATTATTAAACTACATCAATTCCACATGAAATTTTGTTTCAGAATTTTAAGGTGTCTCTAACATGACATAGCTTCATGAATTAGATTAAACTGAATTAAGACTGTTTTCAAATAATAGTATCCGCCATTTACTGAAACACAACTTTAAATTCTTTTTAAACGCATGTCACTGTTTTATCTGGTCTAACTTTTTCAAGAGTCTCCTATTCAAAAACCTTTTCATATTGATTCAATTAGAGTTTACTTGGAGAAAAAATATGTTAGGTGAAAGGTTAGTTAATAGAAAAATTACATGCTTTTTTGTCTAATTCTAAAATTATAAAATTTATCATCATCTTTGTAAAAATATGAAGGCTACATCCCAACATGACAATAGCAGCATAGACTTGAGAAAAATACATATTGCTGTGAAAGAGGAGATAAGATAGTAATAGTGTCTGTGCTGTGCTTGCAAACTGCGTGAATGTCTTCTCACCCTGAATACATGTGCTCTTTCAATATCTCATAGATTTGGAGTTTCAGAATAAAAGGAAATAATTTTAATTAACTGCACTGCTTTTAAGACCATGAGGTAAATGATGCTGCAAAGACCAATTTGTGCTCTGAGCCCCACCTGCTCTGTATTCGAGAAGCAGCAGTATGGCTGGCTGTGAAAAAGACACTCTTCTATCATCCACGTTGTAAGAGGTGTTCAGGCCATCACGTCCCTTGCTTGTATGAGTTTGGTGCCAGGCATGAACTAACTCCATATCTTTGCTACCTTGCCTCTGCTCCCTTTGCTACCACTGGGAGTCATGTGCCTGGCAGATCCAAGGCTGGCCATTCTCCATGCTGCAAACATGAAAGCATGGGGGTGGCATCACTAATGTCTGGGAGTCTTATGGCTGAAACAATAACGTAACATCAAAGGTTGGGACAGCTGAATGCTTACTTCCAGATTATTGAAAGACATCTGAGAGCAACTTCAAGATAAGAAGGAAAATTGAAGTTTATTTCCTCTGCAGAGAGAAAATTAGAAAGACAAAAGCCCAATTAGAACTCAATCTGACTACTGTCACCAAAGATAGCAAAAAAGGTTTTTACAAATACATTAATAACAAGAAGAGGGCCAAGGAGAGTCTCCTTTATTGGATACAGATGGCAATACTGCCACCAAGGATGAGGAAAAAGCTGAAGTACTTAATGTTTTCTTTGCCTCAGTCTTTAACAGAAAAATCAGTTATACTCAGGGTACCCAACCCCTGAGCTGGTAGACAGGGACAGGGAGCAGAATAGACTCCTCATAATCCAGGGGAAGTAGTCGTGACCTTCTGAGCCACATAGACACAAGTTTATGGAGCCAGATGGGATCCACCCAAGGGTATTGAGGGTGTTAGTGGAAGAGCTCACCAAGCCACTCTTCATTTACTACCATTATTGGTTAACCATGGAGGTCCCAGACAACTTGAGGCTAACCTGTGTGACAGCCACATACAAGAAGAGTTGGAAGGACAATTCAGGGAACTACAGTCCTGTCTGTTTTACCGCTATGCCAGGGAAGG